TAACACTACAAAATGACTATCACAAAATATCAAAACTTGTATATGATATAAGTTTTTTTTGTGTAGATGTTTATTATTGGAGTATACATTTTTTAAAATTTTGAAAATTTTAGAATTAACATTATTTTTATGTAAAAATAAAAACAATATCGCAAACAAGTAATGCCTTCCAATTTCCAAAATAAAAAATAAAAATGAAAATGAAAATGAAAATAGACAAGAAGAAACGGAAGCCTTGGGGGGTAGTTTGTTAGTTGCTCTCATTGTTTACTAACATTGTGTTTGATTAGGAGATTTGAGAAGAAATTTGAAAAATGAAAAGGAAAATGAATGTGAAATGTGAATAAAATATACCTATATTTCACACACATTTTTCCTTTCCCTTTACAAATCCCTTCCCTAAATCTCTCAACGAAATATAGCGTAAAGAACTGTCTGCCCCTGATTCCAGCATGAAGGTAAAATTGTTCTTTGCATCTCTTCAGCCACGTGGTTAAAATTTTTAGGATAAATTATAAACATATCTATGAGATTTGCTTAAAATAGATTTTTTCTTATTATCAATTTTTTTTTTATTTAACATAATTAAAAGAAAAAATAAAATTTTCTAATTACTTTTTTATACAATAATAAAATTATCTGAATTATTAATTAAAATATTTTTCTGACATCATTAAAAATTGTTAATTGACTTGATAATTTATTAATGAAATGAGTCATTTGTTATAGTATTAAAAACTTGAAGGGGAGGGATATAATTTTCAAAATCATAAGGAGCAATTCGCGTTTTAAGTAAACCTCAAAGGGTGTATTAGTAATTTACCTAAATTTCTACTACTTTAATCCTGAAGTTTTTTTTGTTGCATCAGTTTTGTTTCCCCAAATCTACTAGTTTTTATGTTTTATAATTTTAGTTTATTATATTTTTGTTTTTCTGATCTTCTCTGCTTTTCAATGTTGCTTTCCAGGTTTCTAGCTTGCTAAAGAGTATGAAGAACTAAACATAGTGACCAGTTCACTTGATTAACAAAAAGACAAGTGCCACAGTCATCTGTCTTGCATGCTTGCTTGCTTTCCATCAAGGAGGACATGGTGAATTTTTTGCTTTGTAATTTCATGTGTATGAGATGAAAATTTCTTTAGGCAACCAGCAACTTTAATTAGCTTGTGGATATATGCAGCGAGTTTAGACAGAACATCTAGTGTTGTGGTGGTGAATGATTTTCGGTTTTAGTGTTGTGGTTGTGGTGTTGCTGACGGATTTTTGCTATCAAATTCGTGCAGTTCGGAGTTTTCTGAGCTTTATATATGGTGGTGCCTCATTGTTGTCTTGAGTGATGGTTAGAGTTGCTCAAGTGTTGTTTGGAATTGCTGAAATTTTCTTCTTTGTAGTTGTGTCGGATATTTGCTGTCAAATTCTTGTAGTTTGGAGTTTTCTGGGCTTTATGGTGGTGCTTCATTGTTGTCTTGAGTGATGGTCAGAGTTGCTCGAGTGTTGTTTGGAATTGTTGGAATTTTCTTCTCTGTAGTTGTGTTTTTTTTGCTGTGTGTTGTGGCCTGCTGTTGCAGTGGGGTTGATTTTGTTTGGTGATTCACCTTGTCTTTACCAGGGTTTGATGTTGTTGTCTTGCCAAGTTTGTTTGGCTTGGCCTGAGTTTGGTTTATGTTTTGCTTGATGCATATGCTGTTCTAGTTGGAATGTGCATCCTTTATTGATATAATTTCATTGTACTGCCTGTACTACATTATTCATCAATAAAATATTTTATTTTGCCTTTAAAAAAAAAGAACATTTGGTGTTTTATAACATAATTAAGAAGTATGTATCTGTTATTGTGGTGTGATGTGGTCGTTTTCTTTACTACTATAACTGATAATGTTGTTGATATTGTTTCAACAGCAGGTTTAATTGGTTTTGTTTTTGTTGTTAATGCTTCATCTACTTCAACCTTGATAAGAGCTTAACTCTGATCAATGTCAATTGTCAATAAGAGTTTTCTTCCTCTTTTTTTTTCTTTTTTTCTTTTTTGTCTTTTTAATTCATATGATTAGGGAATAGTGGGAAGTACCACCGATCGATAAGCCTGTTTTATGTTGATCATTTTCAGTTTATCTTACTAAATAGTTCTATTTATTTATTTATTTTTCAATAGAAAACAGTGTAAAATAAGCCGTTTTCTCTTGTTTAGTCACCAGTACAACACGGAAGATTTTAGTCGTTTTCCCTTCTATTAAAACTATAATTTACAGTCACAATAAAATAAAAAAAGAATTGTTTCACTATAGTTTGAAAACTAAATGAAGCTGACATAGCTCAGCTAGTAAGACATGTACAACATGATGTTGATTTAGATTTCTCTTTCTAAGGAGTCGAAAGTTTGATACACTATCTTCGCATCCATCTCTGCTGTCCGGTACATTAAAAAGTAAATGAACCCATGCATTTGATTAACAAACCATAACTTCCCTTTATTCCGAAAAAAGGAAAGTTCACTTGGTGAATTGGAAAAAGATTTCTACTATAATGGAGTTTGGGGGCTAGTGGTGGTATCAGAATAGAAAATGTTGCCTTACTGTCAAAATGGTGGTGGACATATGGGAAAGAAAAGAAAGCATTATTAGTACTGAAGATATTAAAATTTATGAGTAGTACATCGGAGATGGAAAGTTATGGTTACCATAGAATATATGAGTAATATGCTGTTGAAGATGGGAGATGGATTAAATTTTAAGTTCTGGACTAATATTTGGGCTAGTGACAAATCATTAAAGCAGAATTTTCCTAGGTTATTTTTCACTTTCAATGGAAAACTTGACAGTGTATCTGGAGTGTTTATTCATGACTGTGAAAGTAAGAGGTGGAGATTGGAATTTAGGAGACAACTATTTGTATGTGAGGAGGATTGTTTAAAAGAACCGCAGAGAATTTTAGACAAATGTGAAATAGACATTCATAAGGAGGATGGTATTCACTGAAAAGGTGAAAAGAATGGGCTATTAATTTTCAGTATACTCTTTTTGCATCTGTTATGAGAAGAGCTTTGGGATTGATGTTCAACCCTATAAGGACAATGGGGACAAGTCTAGCTCCTCCAAGGATCCAAATTTTTTGTTGGCAAGCGCTTCTACTAAAGATCTTTTAATTAATTAACATATCTTACTATTGTCTGTAGTAGTGGTTTTTTTTTTTTTTTTTTTTTTTTTTTTTTTTTTTTTTTTTGGGTGATTCAGAGGTTGAAACAACCGTTCATGTGTTGTTACAGTGTAATCAGTCATGCAAGTTTTCCCAGGAAACTTACAAAGCTTGATGAATTGGTGGTTTAGCCCTAGGCCAAACATCAAAAATGAGGCCTTAGGCTTTAGGGCCTTGGACAGTTGGGGCTTTGGCAAGAAGGAATTTATTGGTGCGGCTTAGCAAACTGCTAAGTTGCCTATACTGTTGAGCTGGCTCGGTTACTTCAAGGTACTGTGATTTGACAAAATTAATTTGGAAAACACTGTTTTCCACTATAAAGTGGTCTCTGTGGTTAAGCAGGAATAGGCTGACATTTAACAAGGAGGAAATTGATTGAGAGAATATAATCAAATTAGTGAAAGTGAGTTGCTTCATGGGTACAGGCAAAACCTGAGGTGTGTTTGTCAACATTGAAGACTTCCTTCACAATACCAGTGAACTTTTGGAGAGTATATGATTTTTTGCTGGTTTTTTAGATTCTGTCTGACTGTTTTTCTTGTTTTGAATTTGGTTTAGGTTATGACCCCTTGTAATTCCAAGAGCATACATTTTCTCTATGATGCTCAAGTCTTTTTACCTCGAAAATTTAAAAATACTAAACAAATTTGGGGATGAAAGTTCGTTTTCCCCCAATATGATTAGAATGAAATTTTGACTTACTTTTCAAAAATTCAAATAAATAATTTGAAAATTAATGAAGATAAATTCACTTGCATGTTTGAATAAAGAAAAGTAGGAGACTTGTGAAAGTTCCAATTTAGATTACAGCTCTAAACTGATTATAGATTCAAAATATTCTGTTTGGTGTTATGCAATAAAGAGTGCTTCAGCATAAGAAAATGTTCCAAAAAATTTGTCCATGACCACTGATTCAAACATTTTATCTATTAGGGGTGGACGTTGTATTTTGTATTATGGTGGGTTGTGTTATTTCGGATTTGCGTTAGAATTATTTTAACATTGACTCAACCAGTTTATTATTTTGACCCAATACCCCTTCTATTGCAACACCAGATTTCTTGCTTTGACAAACAAATCTTAACCATATAGACTTACCATTTGTCTTGTTGAATTTTTTTATAAAATTAATTATCTAATTTAATATTATTATTTTTATAATAATAATACCAACAACCAATATAAGAAAGAATCGATAATAAGAAAGAAATAAACAACTAAACAAGAAGTGTTCTAAAAGAAAGTAAGTAAATAATTTTTATCTATGGCAATAATTAATCACTCAAAATTCAATTGACAGTGTACATGACTGATCAACTGAACTAACCCAATTGGTAATCTACTTTAGTGTTTGAGATACCTCTCTTCCTTCCATTAAAATGAGAAGTAGGGAGCTTCTATTTTTATACCAATTTTTTTTCTAGCTCAGACCATTTTGTTGGTTTGAAAATTTAATATAGAACTGTTTTTTCTTGCTTTTTCTTTTTCGTTTTTTTAATAATTGATATTTGAATCATTGATTTTTGTTCGATAATTAATATCTAAACAAAAAAAAATATATATATATATATAGCATTAACTAAGAATTTTAATAAATTGAGATCATTCTTTCTTCTAACTTGACTGAGAATACAAACACACTTCAAAGATTGGTCATGACAAAGCCAGCAGAATGTCACTGTCATGCCAGCCTCAGCAAGGACCAATTATCATGAGTACAACGAGGGGGGAGGGGGAATCATGAACGCACGCAAAAGCTTGGTCTAACGAGTGTTCACTATATCACGGAAACTAGCAAAGGCATTCATTCCTCAATCAAAATCAAATTTTAATGAGCAATCAGCTCAGAATGCCTACAGAAACCAGTAAAATTCCCACAAGGTGTAACAAAATCATGAAAACAGACCTGTCAAATATAAAAAGCTAAATCTTCTTGCCATGACTAGAACATGTCCATGACAAAAAATCACTCTATGTTTTGTGATTGTCAGCTAAATAATAAATATCTCGCCCGTGTGAATAAAGCAGGAAAACTGAACAGAAGTATATTTTCTAAAAGAATAAAAAAATGAAACAAGATGTATGCTCCATGTCTTCAAACTGAAAATGGGATGTATCCATGACCTCAACTTTGGGCAGACAAGAAAAGATCAACACTTTTTCTTGGACAAACCATAGTAAATACAGCAAACTATCTTCTTATGATGAATGATATAAGCATTTCATGAGCAGATATAACCCAAAACACTGAATTTGCCATGTAATCTTCCCATGATCACCATTGCTGGTTCAGCAATTATCAGATAAAATGCTCTCCAGGCATGTGGAAAAAATCACACAGTAAACTTGGCAATAACTAAGCTCACAGCTATAAAAGAAACATAGAGACCAACAAGGAAAAATCCCCAAAATCTAGGTACCCGAATCCTATACCAAGTTATTACTAATAGAGAACCCATCAGGCTTAGAAGCAAGAAGACAAACGCAACCACAATACTGACATGGAAATGGAGTTCGTAAGCTTTTGGATACACATTGGCAGTCTGTATTACCAAAGCCGTGCCAAGCCCAAAAAGCATGTTAAACATAGGCCCAGCAAAGCAACCAGCCATGGCCAGCGCTGGCTGGCCCGCTTTAGCGACTGCCACATCAGCAACAAGATCACCCACTGAGTTTCCCCATGCAAGTACTGTCAGCCCAAGTAGTGCAGGAGGCAACTCAAGAAGTGCTCCGAGAGCTGCAAGGCAGTTTAGGAGTTCCCTGGCCATGACAGAGATCCAAAATACACTCATTACAAATGCTATGAGCACTATGGGCATTTCCTCGGTTTTGGGGGGCTCTTTTTGGACTATGTGGTGAAGAACTGCTAGAGAGGAGCATGCAAAGAGTACTACTAGCCAGAGAGGAAAATGGGAATTCGGAAGGAGAAAACTAATGGGATGATTTAGTGGCATGAATGAGTTACAAAAGTATAGAAGGGCAAGCGGGCAAAGAACAATGTTGGCAGATCGATAGAATCTGTTCCATTGAGAAGGAGAAGTCTGGGGGATAGTGAGTTTTAGAAGAATTGAGACTGGAAGCTCCCACACTTTTGAGATCCGCAGACAAAGAAAAAGAGAATTAGTTCAAAAGAAGAGTATTACTCATTTATACTATTACAGTAGACAGATGAGCTGATGATGCACATTCTAAAGAAACATTACAGTTGAAGCGAGTACAAAGCAAAGTCACATCATGCATATAGTTCAACTCCAAAAGGGCTACTTCTAAAATTACTTCTAATCAACAGCATTAAGTTCCATGACATCATTAAAATTAATGTAACTTTTTTTCTTTTTTCTTTTTTACAATATACATTAGTGAATCCAAATATACGAGCAATATGCTGGATTGATAATCAGGGAAGCCTCTGAAAATAGTAAAAATAGGCATTCCCCCTTTGCCAAGCTGTTTCCTGGCAAACCTGACTGACTAAAACCTGAATTAGCAGCTGGGAACTCAGTTGCAGAAAGCCGGGGTGGGGATGGGGGCGGGAGCTAAGGAGCGAGGGCATATATAAAAGTTTCTTAGGTTGGGAGCACTTATGGGAGTATGTATATATTTATTTATTAAATATATAAAAATATTCTAACAATTATTTTTACTGTTTAGTTGTAATATATGTATTAAAATATGAATAAATATTAAAGATTTATGTCAATTACAAATTATCTTTATTACGTATAAATAAATACTATATAAATAGAAACTACTAGAATAAGTTTGAATTGTAAGGTTTATACGTTAGAGAGGTTTCTATCTTGGTTGGGTTCTTACTTGAAAACACGGAATCGTATTTCTTAGTAAGAAATGCCACTTGAATAAAAGGTTCCTGCAACTAAGGCCGGGAACCTCTAGATCAGAATACATCAGGGTGTGTGAAGGAGCCATTATTTGTCCCTCTTTGTTCCTCTCTATAAAGAGAGGCTGCCACATGAACCCAAAGATCGCAATTTTGTTCTCTATAGCATTTAAAGGCAAAGTCCATCCCTTAGAGCCATTCCAGTAAATGGAACACTCAAGCTACAAACAACGGTTCATCAACAGGAAAAATGTCACTTCATGAAATCATAATTTGCCCATTATCATTTACAGTGTAAGACACAACCATGTGAGATTTAATGCTAATGGGTGATTTGGACTCTACACATGAAATCACTGTTTGTTCACACTGAACATATTTATGTATTCCTGAGAAACAAAGTGAACTCAACATAACCTTTTTTTTTTTTGATCGGCAAAGAAGATCTTTATTGATGAAAGCATGCGAAAGATACAAAACATCAATAAAGAGGAGCTTGGAGCTAAATGAAGCTCCAAGCTCCAGTTGGTGAGAAACCAACAAAGAAACAAGAAGAAAAACAGAACAGATCAGCAGCCAAGAATCCAGACCAACACAGCCCAAACTCAGCGGATCAGACCAAACTAGACCTTACAAGGCAGACTTGAGCCTAAACCAGATAGCAGACCAACAGATCAGACCACCCAAAGTGCAGACCAACATCCAGCAACTGAAGATTAGAGTCTAAACCAGAGAGCAGACCAACAGATCTGATTCAGAACAGAACTGAAACCGTCCAACACAGTACAACAGAAGTTCTAGTTTTGCAAGGACACAAAAACATTCACCATTAAGCTCTATTGATGATCATAGCTTCTTCACTTATATGTGTCGAGTTTTTGTTCACTGCTACAAGCTAAGATCAAATACAACCTAACCCCAACTCCAAGAGGTTGGCCGAGTAGTAAAGATTTAAGGATAAAATACAAGATGTCGAGTTCAAGTCACTCCAAGGGGTCACTGGAGGTAATTTCAAGGCCCTTGGATTAGTAAAGATGCGTGTAAGCTGGTCCGGACACCCAGTTATCAAAAAAATACAACCTAGCCCCCTATTTATCCCAGCATTCTATACCTTAAAGCATGTGTAGCCCAAATATAAGCAATATACTCAATTTCACACATTCATACTTGATGTAGTGGAAACGTGTGATAGTGATGATTTTACCGTTGATTCAAAAATGAATACCTGCAAGCAAGATCCTAAGATCCTTCTCTAAACATGTTGATTCACACATAATATTGTGAGTAAAAGGCTCAACAATGGTTGATTCTAAAAAATATACCCAAGGTTATAACAAAAGAGTATGAACTTGAATTATATTAATCATCAAAACTGTGTTGCCGCAAGACTTGCGTCTTTATTTATAATTCGCCTAATTCATATAGAACAAGAGACTAATAAAATAGGAAATAAGATAAAAACTAATAGAATTGGAAAACTAAATAATCCCAAATCAGGAAAATAAATAATTCTAGTCTATTCTATAGTAAATTAGAATATTTCTAATTAAATATTATTTTAAAATAATAAAATATAAATATAATTTTCTTAAGATTTTTACTGCATCAATAACCCTTCAAAATAATAATAATAATAAATAAAAAATATCAAAAATGGCATTTTTTATATCCAATTAACATTCAAAAAATCAAATTCTTCATTTCATAAAATTTGACCACGTCCAGATTCAGTCCCCTTCTGAACAGTGGCTGCCAGAAAAATTTCCAAGCACAAATTCCTTAGTGCACTACAAGAAAAAGCATTTTTGCCGACCACTTTTAGCTACCAAAACGAATTTAGTCGCCAAAAGTCACGGAATTGGCTACCAAAAATAATATTAGTCGGCAAAAGTCAACTTTTTAGCTACTAATTTTTTTTAGTAGGGGAATGTTGATTATTGGCTACTAAAAAAAATTTAGTAGCTAAAGATATTACAATTGGTCTTCTCAAGTAAACATTTCAAATCATGTGTACATTCACATCTTATGTGAGACAATTGTTTATTAATTTTTTTCAGCACAGAACTTTTATTGATGATTTGAAAAGAGTACAATAGGATTACATTGAGTTTACACCAATCAAATGTGAGCAAAAACAAGAAAATATTTATAAAAAAAATTAAAAAAAAAAGAAGCAAAGAAAAGTGGAGAAGATGCCAACAAAAATATTCCCCTATGAAAGAACAAGCGAAGAAGCATGGATACAAATACGAGATACAGATACGATACGATATGGATACGGTGATATGACATCTAAAAAAATAGGATACAAGTACGGCTAAGATATCTTTTTAAAAAAAAAATTATTAGTCATCAGTTACACATGAGCTAAAAAATGGTTGAAGAACCATACTGTAATTTTATAATGAAAAATACTAATATTTAAGAATTAGGTATTAATTACAATAATAGAACAGCGATATTTAATTTTATTTTATTTTCTAATTCTTACTTTCTATGTAGTTATAAGGGATGAGCATGATACAATAAGAATAAATCAATTTGACAAATTATATTACTTTAATTCGCTATGTTCTTCTTATCAAAGAACTAAGCAAAGTATTGAAAAAATATTCTTGTATTTATCCTCGCAATTATATTATATTATATTATATTATATTATATTATAATGCTATGCAATAAATACTGCAAATCTAATTTCGTAAAGGTAATATGTGACTTCGATTATCTGATACTTCAAAATTAATAAAAAATTAATTAAGAAGTATCCGATACTTTTGGTAAGTATCCAATACGTATCGAGTATACAAGGAGCATCAGTATCTGATACAGATACGATACGAATACATTGCCCTTTTAAAAGTATATGTGCCTACCGACCCCATTTGATGGACTTAAGGCATGGTTTGGTTTGGATTGGTTTATGTGCTTCATAGTCCTCCACACTACTAGACACAGGTATCTTCTATCTCATATCATGGTATCTACTAACTCATATCACACCATCATTAATGGATAATAATTGTGATTAGTTATATTTCATGTCATGTTAAGTACTCAAAATCAACAAATTGATTCTGAAATCTCAATAATTATTATGTTGTTTCAGTGAACTCATTTGTTGCTATAAAAATCAATGCATCAAATTACAACCATTTTTTAGCCTATCGGGCCAAGGCCCATGACTCAGGAAGCCCAATCGATAGTAGGTAAGGTCAATGGTCATGCCCAATGATCTATGCCAGGCTTAGTGACACACCTTGGGGGTTAGAGGGCTGACCTTTCCAAGCTGGTTGGGAGAGCACTAAGTTGGTCGGGAAAACCCATTCCAAACCTAGCCCAGTCTCGTGGTTAGCTCTTTTAAAGATAAGATTATATTATTAAACATATCAGAATATATGGAATCATGAGATCTCCATATATTCCGATATCTTCCATATCTTCTGAAATCTTTAACAATTTAATCTTATATTCAACAAGCTCATCAAGGCAATTCATCGTCCCAACTTGGGCAAGAACACGCAGTTTAAGGTTTACAACATCAAGGTACACATGGCATGATATAAAGTGATCCTCTCCACCTCTCCACCTGCAACTACACTAGCTAGCAGAAGGACACATCTCGTAGCCTTAACCTCCTACCCTAGCCATGTAAATAGGTTTTCTTAGGTTTTTGACTTGTGTAATGGTTTGAACGAGTTGTATTGTATTGTTAAGAAGTTTTTTAATACATCTTCTATTATTTTCTTGAAGTGTTCTTCTTTCTGTGATTGTTGAATGCTTTCCGTACAACTGTTATCATTTCATTTGTATTCAAAGTATGAGACGAGTCAAGTTGCTATCTTAATTTAGAGCGAACAACTCATACTACTTGGGATGATTCATGCCTATATGTTAAACGCGACAATTCTCTTGATCAATGCTTCAAACTTGTAGTTGTGAAGCATTGGGTAGTTCAAACAGTAATGCAATCAATTTTCAACTTTAAACCCTATTTATATATCTAGTGGTGGACTCATTGCCCTAGGATTCTCCCCAACTCAATTCCTCAACCCCTATTATTTATTGTTAATTTAATTTCTCATTTTCAGTTTAATTCTTGTTTCAATATTTTATCCATCAACCATTCTTATCAAATTAACTTAGGAATCTCACATTTAAAATAGTTAAATTTCACATTAGCTGTCACACCCCAAATCCGGGTATGACCGGCCGTGGCCCACAGGGACTTAGCCCAAGGCACACGTAAGCCTAAAC